AAAATAGGAATTAGCCTCAGTTTGCACCTCTTCATTCCATCTACTTTATCTAAGGAGGAAGGTTATGATGAATGAAGTGATGTGCATCAGATATTCTTTGGTTATGTTCTGCAAGTCTTCTGCAAAAAAACACTGAAAACAGAATATATTTTTTCTCTGGCATTTATTCTGATCAGGTAAAATTTGATACAATGACAAGATTTTGTTCTCCAAGAAATATCCTTATGGTATAACAAATTAGAAGTTCTCTGACTACATGGAGAGAGGGATTATTCATTCACCATCATATATCTTGGCTCTAACTAATGGTTTCAAGCTAACCATATCAGTCCAGTAAATTCTGGGGAACATAGTAAATTCCTTCCTAAATGCTTTGCTTTTTGGAAAATATAGATTTTTTTTTTAACTCTTTAGCAATTAAAAAAAATCATTTTAGTTTTCTGTTATTTTTCAGACAGCATTGTAGTTACTCCTAACAAAAAACCTTTCTGTCTTTTGAAAACAAAATTCGTGCTCATTTTTCCAGTTGCAGAGAACATAATTAGAGAACTGTACACAAGTTCAAAATGCAACTCACATTATATTACATTTGAAACGCTGTTACTTCAGTGCTGATTACAGGGTTCAGTACATGTATACAGGAATTTAAATTTAACCAAAAGTGCTCTGAGCTGATGCATTCTTTTCAGCAGAGTTTGGGAAACTAAGCCATGTGGTAGATATGAATTACACATATCTTTTTTAAAATCTTCTTTCTGCCATAAATAGCAGAACCTAGATTGTGCATTGCCATTTGTTTGTTCTTAGAGCATTTTGGCTTTACCATTTCGCTGCTGTGACAATCCAAGAAGCTGACAGAAGCTACAGTTAGTGTGTGTTACACATCGTTTATTTTGGATAGAACTAGTCTAAAGAAATCATTGTTATTTATATTACTTAACAGCTAGAAGCTCAGGTCTTGGGAGAGGATCCTACAATGTTAGACACTGCYGAGGGGAGGGGAGGAGGCTGGACTTATTATGGATTTCTTCTGTTTCTGTATAAATAATAGTATCTTAAACCATAGCATTAAAGCAAATAAGATATTACATGCTTTAGTAAGAATCTCAGAATACATATTTTATTATTTTGAAAAGTTTCTGCAGCATTTTCTTATAAAATGTAAACATGCAAAAGTAGCTCTAGAAACAAAGGATTCTGCATCTTCATTCCATCTAGATAAAAAGTTAAAATATACAAACAAAAGTAACATCATGTGCAGAGAAGGCAACAATATAGAAGTTAGAATACTTATATTTTTCTGTTTTAAATTACTTAAAAATAGGTTTTTACAATTTATCCTCTTATGTTTTGTACTGGTTGGATGTTTCTTCCTTTTCTAATCTCACCCTTTGACCCTTTTGAAATATTTAGTATTTATCACTTAATTCTACARCCCTATAACTTCACTAGCAGAACTACCTGGGGTCTCCTAACTCTCCCTGACTCATTCATGAGCTTGAGGAAACTAGAGCARTGACAAAAGGCATCTAGCTTTGGTGGCCTGGCAGCATTTTTCAGGCTGTCTTTCATCACTTCTGGATTGTGCCATGATTTAGGAGAGTATGACGATTAACTGTACAAGCAGTTCCAAGGCAAGTCCTCTCTCATCCCTGATTAGCCAGCTGCTGTCCTTTCTTAGTTACTGATCATGCTCCCAGCCAATGAGCTTAAATTTTCACACAATGTTTATATTCCCTGCAAGTCTATAATCATCTTCTTATCTTCCCCTTAACGTCTTCCTAATGCCAAGCTGCTGTTTTCTAGCTTATCACCTCCCAATCTAACTATCTTCGCACACCATCCCATATGTTGCCTTTATGTTACAAAATTCAGTATTTGAGAAGGTTTGGAAGAGCCTACAGCTCCTGCATTATTGAGTGAATCCCCCTCCAACTTCAGAAATATTGGCTCAGGTTTCTGGCCCAGATTCAAATTCTCTCAGAGGTTTTAAACAGTGTTTATAAATGTGAAGGACGTGGTTTGAAATGAGGTTTGTGAAAAGAAAAATAAAGAGATGAAGAAGAAAGACCTGGTTCCAGCCTCTTTTTGAAAGTCAGTGTTTAAATGTATCAGATATTTACTGGAACAGAGATGAGGCTTTTGGAGCAGGTTTACACAAAATTCCAGATATGAAATTGTGCTTTATTCTGGTCCTTGTGTGCATTCCAACAGTGACACTTATACTTCATTGAAAATTGAGCTTTTTGGGATAGAGCACAACACAGAAGGTGAGGAGAAGACAGAGCCAATGTACTAAAAATGTCAAGTCAGCCTCCTAGCTTTTTCACTATAATACATTCTGAAAAGAACTGCAGGCAGACAAGAACATGCTTCAGTGTTTCACTAGCATTATTTTAGAACTTGCTGTCTTCTTAATATTGGGCTGGGTTGCTTTGGTAAAAGATCTACATTTTCATATAATTCTGGTGATGAATAGTGCTGCATTTAGCTGGGGGCCAGTCACCGGTGGTGTCCCCCAGGATCAGTGTTGGGCCCAATCCTGATAAACATCTTTAYTGATGATGTGGATGAGGCGATYGAGTCTACCATTAGCAAATTAGCAGATGACAGCAGGTTGGGTGCGAGTGTCAATCTGCTGGAGAGTAGGAGGGCTCTGCAGAAGACCTGGCCAGGCCTGATAGCCTCCATAATTAAAATCAGACAAAGATTTTTATTCTTGCCACTTTCTTTTTCAGTTTTAGTAAGTCAGTATCTTCTTTCAGCTGGTCATTAAGCTGACCTTCCATTACTAATAGATTTTKAAACATATATTTGCTGCTTATTAGTCTTGAGAGTAATTTCCTGTAAACATCCATAAAACTATCCCAATTTCTCCTTTAAAAATCCTCTTTAAAACCCTTCCCTTTCAGGAATAGAAGTTATCTAAAAATTATTAGCTCAGTCTAAGTTGATTCTCCCTCCTGCTGGGACACTGGCCAGACCAGCCAACCCTTCCTTACTGTTTCTCTGCTTGTCTTTTTGTACCTGGTGAATGTCTCTTGCCCCCTTGCAAGACCTTTCACACACAACACATGCGAACGTGCACTCCAATTACAATCACTATAGTGTGAGAGAACCTGTTTACTGTTTTCAGAACACCTAGCCTAGTCTCTAGCCATGGGCCACCATTCATCTCCAGGAACTGCAATAATCAGGTCAAAAGAATCTCAGTCCTCGTGCTTTTCTATGAGACACTATTGCATGAGATATGAGAGGCAAAACTAGATCATTCCTTAAAGGTACCACTAAAAGTATGATTATTAGGTAATAATATTAATTACATGATTTTGTTCTAAAGGATGGGCTTGCTATAGTGCCCTTCCACTGATCACTGGCCTGAAAGGTTTTTTTTTTCCTTAAGCCTAAAAGCAAGTTCTGATTGCTAGGTAAGTCTGTGCCATACAAAATTTTTGTAAACAAGTAATTTTCTGAAGCAATTGTGAAATTCTCTATGGAGCTTCTTGACTCAAACTACACTCTGACTAGAGGTAGAGACTTAGCATCTTATGATACAGTTTTATGGAGAAACATGTTCTTCTGAGAGGAGTTAGGCTTGGTTTTGCCTCTCTAAAGAAATTGGATTTTTTATACTCAGATTTACACCAGGATCTTATTTGACCTGCATGGCTTTAGACATCTTACACCACCCGGTAGAAAGACAAAGTGAGACTTAGAGATTCTGCATGTGCTGTAAGCCCGTGTATACAGCTACATATAAAATTACATGTGCATCTAAGGATTTTTCTTCCTGGAATACTGAAAAATCGAGAGGGCATTAAACCCTGAGAATCTGTAGCACAGCATAACCTGTATACACATCTTATGGCAACAGGATAAGGAAGCAAGGGTGCAGAGTATTTAACCAATTACAAGATGATAAATTGTACATGCTTATTTGAGAATGGATGTTTTAATTTAGATGCCAAAGTGACTATGTTAATCTCCTTTGTGACAACAAGACTTTCTAGACCAATGCTTAATTTTTAAAGCATATTTATCCTGTTGCTTTATCCTAGATGACCTTTTGTTCCGTAATATGAATTTGAAGCTTTAGTGCACATGTTATTGAAATATAATTACCTAGACAAAACAGATAAGCCTTCAAGGGGAGGGGAGATGTTTGTTTTAAAGACAAATTAGGTAGAGATGTTAAGTTTATCTCAAATGAGCACTATCTTAATTTTTCTTTCCCAATAAAATTGAATTTCTTCATGAATGTAAGAGATTTTTGCATTTACACTAAATGTAAAACAAAGCATCAGACTAATGTCTCCTTTCATGCAGATGAGACACATTAAAACTTAAAAGGTTTTTCTGGGACAAAATTAGGACACACAGTGGGAATAACGTCACAGTCATAAATCGGTTTATAAGTTGGAATATTAAAAATATATAATTGTGTCATATCAGTTATATAAAACATAAAATCCCACAGATGTGACCTATACTGATGGTAGGAGGAGTAATGGTGAAAGGATTTTTTTTTCTTAGTGCCTCAGGGAAATAATTTTGGTAGTTTCCATTAAATACTCCTTAGTTTTAATTATCTGCCCTTGATTCCAGGATTGATAGGTTTGCCAGCTATTCAATAAAATGCTCTGAAAATGTAAAGGGACCACGACTGTTAGTAGTACCTTCTCCTTCATTATTTTGGCCATGGAATATTCAGAAACTGATACAGACTTAGTCAACTGGCAAGAGAATGAGTCAAATACATTCATTTCAAATGTTAGTGTGGTATTCTATAATCCATCTTGTACTTAAATTAAATCTAGGTGTCTAAACATCTGCCTATCAAATATATGTCACTATCTCTGTTTTCTATAATGAAAACAATAATACTGGCAAGCATTTTTATTGGTCTAAATACAATGAAAGTATGTGTCCTGTAAATGTGACTCAGAATACATCAGTTATATTTGGACTTCTAAGCTCATCAAATGCATTGATTTTTCTAGTTTTTGTTCAGGACCTGGGCCTATGATATCAGAGGTTGGATTTGCAAGGTTGTGAATATTTTTGGCTCAATTGTCTTTTACCGGTAAGTGTCTTGCAGTTCAAAAAGTTGTACCAGGACTCTTGTGCTTTGATTATAAATACCTCAGCATAGCAATGGAGCAAAAATAGAATGTGCTTTGACTAGAATATGTTCCAAAAAGACAAATATTTTAAAAGCTCGAATTCTGCAAGTGTAATTTTGTCATAAGCTCTTGCATGGAAAACTAATCAAAAGGATCTTGGAATAGAGCATGCCTTCATGCTGGTCCCAAGAAAAAGGGATCAAATTAATTACAAAGATTTACAAGGCAATGGAATGCCTGCAGAGCACAGTGAAACTCTACACACAGATAACAAACAGCCTTTCAGTGAGCCAGCTCAGATATTGGATGTGTACTCTTCACCCAGGCGAAAGTGCTGGTCTGTGCAAGCAGTTGTGCTCCAGACATGAGCTGATTCCAGAATTAGAGATTTCCCAGGTGCAAGTGAAGATGTCACTGTGCTTGGAACTGGTTGGAAACCCATTGAACTACTCTTGTGACTGAAAAGTGCTTAATTTCAATTGAACATTTTTAATGTTTGAACATTTTGGTTTTATAAAAGAGAAAATAATGTAAGAAAAGCTATAATTACTTTTTGCTGTTGCTCATTTAGTCATTTCCTGTCTATATTGGTCTGACTTTTTGCTCAATTAAAAAAAAATTAATCATGGTAGTTTAAAATTTCTTTTTCTTTATTATTTCTGAATTTTGGCTTTTTAATTCTCTGATAGTTAGCTCTCTGAATGAGAGCAGTTCACAAGTGTAATGTGGAAGTCATAGTGTGGGAAGATACCCTAGTTCAYAGACAACAAGAAATAAAATGCTAAAATTTAAATTCTATGAGTCCATAAGATTTAACATTTATTAACATACCTATGTTTTTAGATAATTTTAAACCTTTTTAGACTTTTGAAAATTTGACCTTTCAAAATTTTTATTTTTCATTGTGTACAAAATGCCATCCCAATACAGGATAAGAACACATGCTGAAATATTTTGCATGTCCAGTCCATTAAAAAATTGAATTAATTAGAATTGGAAATAATTAAAGCATTTCCCACTGTGTTTCTAAACCCCATTTTCTTAAAAGTTTTTAAATGTCACAAGAAATGTGACATTTGTATTTCTTTACTGAAAGCTGAGCATAAGAACACCAAGGTACAAAAATTTAGCTTTCATTAAATGCTCCAATTCTGCTAGTCACGGAAGTGCATTTGTCACAGATGATATATAAAGCTGCTAGGACAATTAAATAAAGGAATTAAAAAGTATGTGGTCAATAGAGTAACTTCCCTGCTAAAGCATGATGGGTGTTGTTTATCCACAGAATACAAGGATGTATGATATTTCTGTCACAAAAATCAACCTGGAGTGGCTAAAACTAAAAGTATCTCTCCTTAGTATTTCCAAATGATCATAATCAGTTTCACAAACCTCCTCAAATTTAATTGTTGACAACAAATCTTATTTTTTGTGGAAAAAAAATACACTGCTTTTGGACAATTTATCTCTAGATATGAAGTGCACTACTGCAAATGCATGAACTCCATTACTTCTTGAGATGTTTGCATTTACGGATCATTCTGTACTTTTTCTGAGACAACTGTCTAATTCTCCCTACAGTGTAACTGGCTGATGTATGTTTAGCCCTGAAATAAATTTATTTATCTGACTGCATGCAGAGAAATGCTGTTCACTTAGGATGAGGGAATGGATGTCTATGTAAACTTCACTAAAGTGTTTGACCCCGTTTCCCACAGCATTCTCCTGAAGAAAATGGATACTCTTGGCTTGGATGGAAGTCCTCTTTGTTGGGTGAAAAACTGGTTGGAGTCCGGAGAATGGCAGTGAGTCAAACTAAATCCACTCTGTGGCTGTCACTAGTGGTGTTCCCCAGGGCTCAGGATTGGGCTGGTCCTATTTAACATTTGTAATGATGGTCTGGATAAGTGTACATCCTCAGTAAGTTTGCAGACAATTCCACTTTAGGAGAGAGTGTTGATCTGCTGAAGGGTAGGAAGGCTCTACAGAGAGTCCTGGAGAGCCTGGATCAATGGGCTGAGAAAAACTGTGTGGGGTTCACTAAAGCTAAGTACCAAGTCCTGCACTTGGTTCACAACAACCCTGGGCAGTGCTACAGACTTGGGTATGAGTGACTTGAGAGGCTGCTCAGCATAAAGGGATTTGGGGGTGCTGGTTGCCAGCCAGCTGAACATGAGCCAACGGTGTGCTCAGGTAGCCAAGAAGGCCAAAGGCATTCTGGCCTGTACCAGCAATAGTGTGGCCAGCAGAACCAGGGAAGTGATCGTCACCCTGTACTCAGCGCTGGTGAGGCCACACCTCAGATCTTGTGTTCAGCCTTGGTCCACTCACTTCAGAAAAGACACTGAGGTGCTGAAATATTTCCAGAGTAGGGCAACAAAGCTGGAGCACAGGAGCAGCTGGCGTTGTTTTTCTGTGAGAAGAATCAGGGGAGAACTTACCACTCTCTACAAATACCTGAAAGGAGGTTGTAGCCAGGTGGGGGTCCATCTGCTCTGCCATGCCTCAAGTGAAAGGATGAAACCAAATAGCCTTAAGTTGCCAGAGGTTCAGATTAGATAGTAGCAAAAGATCTTTTCACTGGAAAAAATTTCAGGCATTGGGGTAAGTTGCATAGGGAGGTGGTTCAGTCACSATCTCTGGAAGTGTTCAGGAGGTGATTTGGATGTGCATGAGCAAACATTAAAAACCACTGGTTCATTGTGTAAATGCCTCCTTTACAGAAATTGATTTAGGTAATGCAGAGCCTCCAGCTTATATGGAGCACTAACATATGTCTCTGTATGTTGTAATAGATACTTAGAAAGGCATACTATTTATTGGCACATGAAATATAACAGTTCTCATTTGTGCAGACTGCAACTGAATTCTTTTCCAACCTGCTTCATCACAATTCTAACTTTCTTCCCAAAATTTATTTTTTAAAGAATTTTAAAAGAGTAAAAAAAAATTATGTGTTTTCTGTTTGTCTTGGGAACCGAGGATTCTGTTTTTCTGTACTGCATTTGACTTGAAAGTTACAAGACAGAGATCTACAGAATGGTAAAAACAACATCTGTGTTTCATTCAACATCTTGCAATGGCCTCTTCTGCACAAGTCAGGCTTAAAAAAGGACAATAAAAGGAAATACTGATAATTTTCTGATCATATTCTAGTCTATGGTGATTTGTAGCTCATAATTGTTGTAGCAAGATGTAGTATTTAGGTTTAATAAACTTTGATTGGTTTATCTTTCATAAGATTTGCCTCATTGGTTTTTGGACCTAAATCAAATCTTCAATCGTAGCATTGCACACAGAGTATTTGCCTTGAAGCTTTTAAGGATACCTTGGTTTTTGTATTTGTAACTGTTAATCAGTATATAAATATGTATTTATGTTTATTTAGGATGCTCTCTTCCCTCCACTACAGGTTGTTTTAATTATAAGCCTGGCCATTAATGTACAGAATCAATTCTAAGCCTGCCTGATCCCACATTTCTTTATCACTTCCTCTCTATGGACCCTTCCCTATGCACACAGAAAACAGAGCAATAGTTTGCTGCGAGTACATTGGGTATCTTTAGTACTTCCTCAGTTATATTGCCATTCTCTCCACTGCCCACAGCCTCCATAGGAAATCTGCTAATAGAGATTTTATTTTCATCCACGAAAAATCACTGCTGTGGACCATGGTACTTTTTTCCTTAGTCTACTCATTTAAAGAAAATAGTTGCTTACTGTTTTCTACGAATGCTAATAAATCCCATCTCATTGCACAGCCACCTACTCTTATTCTGGAAAATGTTTTTTACTACTTTTGAAGGCATTATCATCAGTTGTTTGTAGAAAGCAAATGATGCATTAAGACATTGCCAGAAACAATTGTAAGCAAAATAGGACTTTACTACTTCCATTTCTTTGATCAGCTGAAAAAGTAAAGAAGAAACTACAGATTTGTGTTGCTAAAAACACCATCTTCTGAAAATGCAGAAACTCAGAACTAGGAACATTAATTGCTTAAACTTCCCATAGAACATGTGATAGACAATAGCATGCTCTGTCTTCTTTCTTTCTCTCTAATTTAAATATATCCTCCTTCAGTTTAAGCCATTGCCTCTTGTCCTGTTTCTACATGCCTTGCTAAAAAGTTTTTCTTGCCTTTTACACAGTGAAAGGCCAAAATAAGGCCTCTGCAGAGCCTGCTCTTCTCCAGGCTCTGCAGCCTCCACACTCTTAGCCTCTCTTCACAGAAGGTGTAGTAGTAGGGTTGTGTCCTTCTTATGTTGGAGGCCCCAAAAGTGGATGCAGCAGCCCAGGCAGGGTCTCAAAAGCAAACAGAACCATCTCTGTCAATCTGTTCTTTACATGCAGCCCAGCACAATATTGGCTTTTTAGACTGCAAACATTTCTAGCTCATGTCTGGATTTTTGTCCATCAGTATTCCTAAGGCTTTCTCTGCATGGCTTCTCTCAGTCATTTCATTCCCCAGACTCTAAAAGTATTGGGAATTGTCTTAACCCAGGGGCAGGACCTTGTACTTGACCTTGTTAAATGTTAGGGGGTTAAATAGAAAGTCAATCCTATAGATGAAAGTTCAGTGAGGTAGCCTGAGCAAAGTGCATGGTTACCACATTTGTTAAGAAAAATAAAAATTTCTGTAGTAAATCTTTAACAGAAAAGAAAGTCAAAACCAGATAATCAGAACTTTGGGTAAATGCTTCTTATCTAAATGATTTATATCAAATATTTTTTATATATGTTAACAGCAGCTCTAACAAGGCTTAGAGATATAATTAAACCACTCAGGCTTGGCAGAAAGGAGTAGTCAGCCAGCAGTTAAAAAAAAAAAAAAAAGTAACCCTCTCACAGGAAAATGAAAAGAATATCTGCAGTTATATAGACTCTACAGCTGGTTAAAATATAACCATTTTTTCAAATGAGCTGAGCCATCATAGGAATCTGAATTTATATCCACAATCCAAATCTAGAAAACAATCAAGAGATAAAAGATGTAAATCTTCAAGCATACATGTATTAGACATGCAACCTGGTTAAGGGTGAAAAAATATTGTGGAGAACTTAAAAAGGATGCCTAATCATGAGGCCCAGAATCTTGTAGCTTCTAGCAAGTTGTGTCTTCAGAATTGATAGAGATCCTTAGACAGATGACATTTTGTGAAGTGTCTTGGGGAGGCTATTTCAAAAATACTGCAGAGATATCTAGTTGTTGCATTTTAAAAAATCCTGCATTTTACTTGTAATCCTTTTTACTTGTATTCTTTCACCTCTGATGTTGCGTCTAAAGGCTTCTCTTCATAAATAAATCCTTTTTATTTTACTATTAAGTTTGTCTGATGTGATAAATCACTGTGAATCAGCACCAGGTGATTCAGAGGCTATGCCCTGTGCAGCTGCTGGAAATTCTAATCAAAGAAGCCAGATTGATTTGTCTTTGCAAGGATGTTCCTATATATCTATATGAAGATCCATGTTTGTTAGCTGAACTCCAGCTGTGACACTCCTGTGTTGCCTCTTCACTAAGCTTCCAAAGATCATTACTCATAATAATCATTACTCATAATACAGTCTTTTAGGCTGATTTTGAAGGCAATCCAAGGTAGTCCCACAGATATTTTCTTGGATGTGCTATGTCTAAGCCTCAGAGGGAAAAAGGTATAAGAATCCTCCACTACTGATTAACTCAGCAGAACTAACATCTTTTTGTTTCTATTTCTCTTTCTTGTTGTTGACACTACAAAAAAGTAATGGATGGGTGCTGTGTAAGATGTTCCATCTGCTTGGATTCAAATCCATTGTAAAAAGCCAATCCACAAAGTGTTTATTACAGTGTGCTCTTGCACCCTCTGCAACAGCATTCATGGGTSTCACTTTTTTATCCATGCATGGTATTACTCCTATGTGTAAATGTTTCTTATCAAATCCAGATGTTGAACAATCTCCTTTCTTGAGCTTGCCAAGACATCTGATATGAGAGCTGTGATGGCTTCCATCCTCCATCCACAAACACATTAATACCTTACTCTCCTAATCACATGTAGTTAAGCACCTTTTCAAATCACATTCATATTAAACCGACTTCTACAAAGTAGTAACTTGAAAGCCCCTTTTCTCTTTGCCCTTAACCTTGTTGCAGCACATCAAACATAGATGATTTGATACTGGGGAATGACTTGGCTGTTAGGAATTAGGCTGGTGAGGCTGATACGTGGGGTAGTCCTGACACAAAGTTTCAGCAGTTTAAAGACTGGGCTGCCCTATGTGCCCTGGGAGCACGTCCTTGGCACCCTGTGAGGAATGCTCAGGTAGAGTTATTCAAAGTCAGCTTTTAGACAGCTGTTTAAAGAGAATGTTCTTACAGCACTGGTGTCTTACCTCCCTGAAATCAGTGAAGTTAGAACACTGCTGAATTTATTAATGGTGATTTGCATCTTGAAGTGCTTAAGAATATGACTTTTAACTAGTAAATTGAATTAATAAATAATGCAGACAAGCCAGCTACACTGTTCTCAGAACAAAGAAGATATTCATGCCCTCTTTAATAAATGTTACATCACCAGTGAACAGCAAAAATAAAAGTTCCCATGAAAAACAAAATAGTGTTTTTCTTTTTTATATGAGACTGTAATACTGCATTTCTGTCACAAAGGGATTCTGATCAAAGAAGACAATTAACTGCACTTCCTGTATCACTTTGTCGCTCAGAAATCTGCCCTTGAGCAAGAACTTTTATTTTTTTCAATTTTTTAGTCTAAATGAAATCCAGAACCAGCAGGAAAAGAGCAGGCAATACTGTTCTGCAGGAATGTAATATAGTTAGATTCACATCTCTGCTGGAACTCCTTACCAAACTTCAAACTCCAGTTTTCATGTTATCCGGATTTTTTTTCTTCTTTAGTATTTTTACTGCCTTTTCTATTGAACTCTGTCTTTCTGAGATGTTAGATTATTCCCTCACTGAGAGTCTCTGGTTTATGCTTCTGTTTATCTTTCTGTCCATCGAGCTATACATTTGTGGCTATGCAACGTATAGAAACAAAAGCCAGAGAATTGTCAGCTTGAGTTCTAATACAATGTATTGAATTTGCACATTTTATGTGGTTTTTATTAAACCTTAACAAASCATGAAGCAAATGAGTGGTTACGGGTAGAACCTTTAGGTTGATCCAATCTAGACATTTAATTTTTTAACTATTACTTCTTTCTCAATATCTTTTGTCTCTAGTCATCCTGAAGAAATTTTTGGATGCTTTTATATTTGAAGGTGTTGACAGTGGGACAGATGTTTACATACCTGTTATGATTTATATTTTCTATTTAGTACACAGCTACTTCTGAAAAGTACATGAAAGAGAATTAAGCAAAGCCACAGAAMAGGGAGCTTGGTAGTACTTTATCACCTAACCTCACATGGATACCCTCAGGAGTAAAAATATTGTTCCTCTGTGTAATCTGTGTGATTGCATATATTCTGTCAGAAATATGGGGGCAAAGTGATTAACTCATATTTTTTATTATATTCCATGTTCTACAAAGATTGGTTAAAATAACCTTTTGAAATGTATCTCTTAGTGTGGAAACATATATTATTTATTTATTTAGCATCTGTTGGCCTGTGAACTAAGACCTGTACAAGTCCTTATTCTCAAAGTAAGTTTKCCCTTATGAAATTGATGTAAGTCTGAAAACACTGAAGAAAAAACATTGCAAATATGATGGTTTATTCTCTTAAATTAGAACATGTATATCAGCAGTACAATGTAAATTTTGCATAATTCTTAATAATTGTATAGGAACCAAATTTAGGCAGGTCAATAAAATGCAACTGTTTAGTAATCAATGTGAATCAATAATAAAAATGGGCAAGTCTCAGGATTTCAGCTAAAACTGAGAAATTGAACAAGTTCAAATGTCGGTCTGCAGGGTATAATTTCATTACTTACAGAGTAGTAAACTCAACCTCTTGCAAAAAATAGAGTTCATTGGAAAGTTGAGATGGAGCAGGTTCTCTGTTAAGTATATTTTGCCGTTTTCTCTACAATTTTTAATGGAAGACTTTTTTTAAATTTTTTTTTTTGGTTGGTTGGTTTTGTTGGTTTTTTGGGGGGTTTTGTTTTTTTGGTTGGGTTTTTTTTTGGTTTTTTTTGGGTTTTTTTTGTTTTGGTTTGGTTGGTTTGTTTTGTTTTTTTTAGTCAAACCTAAAAACCTAAGCACTGAATTTTCTTCTTTAGGAAACTGAAACCTGGACATTTTTGTCTATAAAATTCAGAAATATGTGTATGCATTGACTAAAGAGTCAGCATCCTTGCTAAAATAATATGTGTTGGTCAAAAGAATGTTTGAGGAATCTATATGCTCTTTTCATTTAATTGAAAACTAATTCAGCTATTGCAAAAACATTGACAGAAAATATTTCTTAGCACCAATAATAAACCAAATACTGTGTGATTTAGGCTGTCCATCCAAGGAGCAATCACTTATTCGTCTTTGTGCCATCAAATGTAGTTTTAAAAGGATTTAAGAACAGTGGTGGCCAGGACAAGAAGTCTTCATGCTCTGCAATTCTCTTCGAAGTTTTTTTAAGAGCCTTTGAATCTTTCTCCTTATTTCTTTGCAACTGAAACATTTCAGGGAAAATATAAGTTCAGAAAGAAGGAGGGGGAAAAAAGCAAGTTATATTGAATTTTTTTGATTTCACACAAGAACCAATCTCATGTTTCATTTTGTTTTAAAGTAAATACTATAAGTAACTACTTTGCCTCTGAAAGAAAAGAGATTTCTGAGCTTTTAGGTTATGCAATAAACTGAGGTCCACGGAAGAAGCCTGTATTGGCTGTAGCCTGTACTTTGCAGCTATAGAAGTGGTGATTTAATTTAGTTCTTTCCTAAATAAACACTTAAAAGCCAACAGTAACTCAGTTTATGAAAGCACAAATATTAAATCCTAACCAAAAAAAAAACCCAAAACAACCCTTTCTGTTTTGACCTTGAGAAACATTTCACTGTGTGGTCTGGATGGTACTTTTGATCAAATTATAATGATGAGCCAGATTTGATCTCTCCTTTGTGTTGTGAACAGGGAAGACAATTAGTGTGGAATCAATTTGGGAGTCATCCTGTAGAAAGCAATGTGTTTTATTACAGGAACCTGGAAAAGATAGGCATTTGTGTAATGATTCGTTATCACCACTCATTTACCCATTCTGCCTCATGGCATGAAGGCTGAATAAATCATGTTTCCATACCCAAGCAATATAACTGTAACGTATACCCTAGTTTTGGGGACACCTGAACACAAACCTTGTCATGCCAATAAAGATTAAAGATCAAAATCCTTAAATAATTCACCTGTTTTACATCAGAGAGAGACAGATTCTGACAGCACAAAACAAGCTAAAATAAACAGAATATAGAGGCGAACTGGAAATTCCTGTGAAAGCCATTGAATACTCCAGATGTCATAGTGTAATTACAAKCTGAAAAAGAACAGGGATCACTTTAGCATCCTGTAAAATAAATTGGAATCTTTCCTTTGAACATTTTATTCTGTCCCACCCTGCACAATGTGTATTCACCATTGCATTGCCAGGTTGAGTTTTAAAAGCTGGACCCTTTTCAAATGGTGTGAAACTGAAATGCAAAAGGAAGTACAGTATCATATTATGTGCAGAAGAAAAGCTCATTAGACCTTAAAAGTATTTAATAAAATTTAGTCTTGAAATAGAAAATAGATTTGCAAAACAGAAATATGAGATAAGACTTCTGTCTCTATCAAGAGGACTTTTCCAAAAAGTGTGAAATGTAACAGAGAACAAGGTTACATTTTTGTAACTAACCTCATTTTTAACTGCTTGGAAAAAAGAGTACTAGAGCCAAAATGTTGCCTTTAATGTTATTTTTAATATTCCATCATGATTTTTATCAGTCATCCCCTTTTTAACAAGGCCTTTTTTATTTTTCCATGTTGAAGCCAATCTTACAACAGAGCAAAACAGATCTTCATTTCCTTTTTCATTTTTAATATAGTCAAATGGTGAGAAGAAATGAACCAGTCTGAGACTGATATGTTCCCACCCTATCTTTTCTCTTTTGTAAAATGAGAGGTCAATAAAACCTTAAATAATTTCAAAGTGTAAGTTACAGAAAATCTAGCTGTCTTAGGTTCTGAACATAATAGGCAAATCACAAGCCATAATTTAAAGAGCATTGATTTTCAACTGGTTTTACAAGGACCAGGCAAAAAAGGTGAAAATAAAACAAAGTATGTTTAAAAAAAAAAAAAAAATTTGAAGGAAGACTTCTCTCAGTATGGGAAGAAAAAAGCTAAAACAATAAAAAACAAGGTTTTTTTAATAAGTGTGGGGGAGGTATTTGCAAGCAGTTGAAAAGGTTCGGAAAATGAGAAATCACAGGGTGAAAGAAGTTTAAAAGGTAAAAATAATGAAATGTAAATAAATGAAACATAAATCAGAACCAGACTGGCTAGAATAAATTGAGCAGAATTTACAAGGGAAGAAAAAAATAAAAAGAAGCAGATTTACTTCAGACCTAAAGGCCCTTCAAAGCAATCCAAAATGTATAAGAAAATTGACCTATGTGAAATGATGTGTGGTGCAGTTAAAACTGCAAACATAATTAAAAGTGGTTGATGAATAAAAACCTGAATACTTAAAAATTGAAAAGAACTAAAGGATAAAAATTAATACTGCAGATTAACATATAAAACTCAAAATAAACAAAATAGTATTTAATTCAGGGTGCAAAAACAGTATGGCACAAAAAGCTGCAAGACTTGAGTTTTTTCATTTTTAAAACCTATCCCAATGGAAGAGACTTGACCTTCATTATAAAYATACAAATCAAAATGGGAAACCATTCTTTTCCTTAAGCAAACCGAAAAGCTGCCACTTTTTACTTGCAGCACAGTTAAGTTATGGGGGTTTTCTTACAATTTCTCAACATAGAAGTTGTAAACACACTAAAACCACAGAACTCTTTTATTTGCTTTACTGAAATTATGTTGGTAAACACATATCATGAAACAAGCTAATATTCCTTCCTCCCTGATATGGAGTAATAACCGGGCTGATCTTTGACTCTCATGTCTGACAAGTGGCTACAACTGGACACAGCAGCTTGCTCATACAAATGCTGATTTCTTGGCATCTATTTTATACCAAAGGCCAAATTAATATTTTGTTCAATGAAAGGAAGGATAAGGATAAAAATCAAGTTTCTATCAACTTTCCTGAAGTCCTGTGAAAGTAGGTAGAAGTGCTGTAAGCTATTAAATTTCCTTAACTGACCAAGTAGCCAGGATCAAGTATATCTTTATTTTATGTACTGTTATAAGCTACTTGAGGTAGAAACCTGCTCTTTTTCTGTGCTCACAGTGAGCTCTGAAGATTTTGTATCTCTCTGAAGGTTCTTGTGGAGAAAAAAAATAGATGTGTAACTCATCAGAGACTGAAAGGTAATCTGGTATCTCTGCTTAAATGTCCTTTCTTTTTGCTTAGGCTCTCTACTAACTTCAATTTGATATCAGTCAAAAATAAGAAACTCAGTGTGAGTCTGGTGAAATGAGGCTGCCAGAGTATGTTTTAGATATTTATACTTATTCTGATTTTAAAGATCTAAATTTGCTAATAAGTTTTTATTCATAGTATTGCCTTGAATTTAATGCCTATATTAAGTATCTGTACAATAAATAGTCCTATTTCTTGTTCCAGTTTAATTTTCAGGTTATAGTATATGGATCAGAACTAAGGAAAATCAACGCTTCTGAAATTAAAATTCCACGTCACCTACATTTCTTAAAAAAGCCACTAAGAATACAGAATGAAGTTATTTTGATCCACATTTAAGTAAGTATGCATGTGAGTAAGAGACTTTCAGGACATAAAATCTTATTAATGAGTATTATATTTTCTACAGTTCGAATAATAGTATACCATTCTCTTTTTGAATAGAGTATTTTATTTCTAAGTATTACCTTTGGTTATGATTGTAGAAGCAACCCCAACGGTTTTAAATTTGGTTTTAAAACTCGTGTTGATGGCAGCAACAGTGAACTTTTGTTTCCTTTGAAAACTCTGAAATATATGGAATAAGCTATTTGAAAAGATATCCTTAAATGGGAAAGATTCCCTAATCCGACATGGAACAGAGAATAGCTACTCTCTGCACTACAGAAATATTTTCTAATTTCACAAACAAAATGGAAGTGAAGCTGTTCTTCATGATTTTATCCTTAAATGCATATTCATAGCTGGCATGTTCAAGGCTGGTATTGAGCAACAAAATTAGAGAAATGAACATTGCCTGATGATTTGGCTAATGCTATCGTACTTCTATTCTCTGCAGGTCAATTGGCACAAGGACTCGTGTTGAGGAAAAATGGTACTGTCTCATTTAGCTGAGAAAGATAAATGTCAAGGACACCCTGTACTGGGATCACAAATCCCTCATGATTCATACGATGRCATATGGGGTCACAGCTTTTCACAGCAATAGGAGCATTGATACTGTAACAGGTTAAGAGAAGATGATTTTTACAATGAGGAAAAGGAAGGATGGGCATCTGTTAGTGTAGCCAAAGGCTATACTGCTGCAGATTCCTGGATGAAATCCTACATAATCTATTCCACAAGATACAGGATTAGGTGTCAGTATCATTAAATTTTTCTTTGATTTCTTTTTGCCATACTCCTCTTACTTCTACTGTGCCCCGTGCTGCTGGGGTTTGACCATATCATACAAGGATTCTGTGTTGCTAAGTGAGATGCTTAGCTTCTTCCTTGAAGAAGGAAAGGGGTGTTTACTATAGAAATTATGCAGCCTCCTCTGCCTCAAGCACAGTTTCAGAAAACATTAGTGAAAATGAACTTGTCCTAAGGAGAGGAGGGGAAGGGAAAAAAAAACCAAAAGGAAAAAAAACATTCTTTGCTCTTTTGTCCATTCTTAATGGACCAGAGAGGGTGTTTGAAGAGTCTCAAACGATTAATGAATCTCCCAGTTAGAATATGTCCTTACACTTGAGCATAAATTTCAATATTGTGTTTTGTTATCCACAGTAAGTTAAATCATCTGTATCAAATGTTATGTTGTATGAAAAGCTGTCTGAAGAAATACTATCAAGGTTTTATGACAAAAGCTATTGAAGTTCCAGAAAGATGATTACCTGCTTCTTGTCACAAAACAGATGTGTGATTTGGAAATTTAAAATACAGTTATTAGTTATCTAGGGAAAAAGAGAAGACACCAATTCAATGTGCATTTGTCATTAAGCTCAGGACAGCTAAAGAATGAGAATAAAGTATACAAAGGAATCCAGTTAATATGTGTGGTTAATGATTTTTAGTATGTTTACTGAGAGAAAGCATGGAATTGTTCTTTATTAAATTTGTAGATGACACAAAAAGAGAAAGTGCATTTGTATTCAGTTTATATGGCAGGGTTTGGCAGCAGGGGAGCTGCTCAGGCGCCTGCTGTGAGATCAGATCAGCTTAACCCACTGCAGTCTTTTCTGGTGCCACAGGTAGGCTCTGGAGAAAATTGAGGAAAGGACAGTAACCAAGAGAGGTAATGGGCAAATCTTGATCTGAATATTACCAGAAAGCAGAATATTTTTGAGGAATGTTTTGTAGCTGTGTTGTGCTTCTGAGACAAAGGGTGTGGTGTGCATGTGGTGTCCACTGGTGTTGGTGCAGTCATGATGTTAGTTCTACTTTGTTGGACAATTCTGTTTATCAATGTATGTGAAGTTTGTGTAGACTGTGTGATGAATGTATATTTTAGTGATAATTTTCAAAGATATGTTTCAAAGAGGTGAGGGGTGGATGTCTGGGGCAGAGATGACCCCAGGTGTAACCTGAAGGAAGCTGCAGCCTGTAGGGCACCCACACTCAAGAAGCTCTGGAACAGCTGCAGCCCATGGGAAGGACCCCGTGTTGAAAGAGCTGATGAAGGACTGTATCCCATGGGAGGGATCCCACAATGCAGCATTATGAACTGACTGCAACTCCATTCCCCATCCCACTGCCCCACTCAGGGGCTGGGGGTTGAGGGGTGAGACAGAGGTACAGAAGTCAGAAGAATTTGGGCCTGGAAAGAGGTGGGAGTGGTGAGAAGGTGTATTTAGTTTCAGTTTGGTTTTTCACTATCCTACTTTGTTTTTAAGTGGAAATAAACTAAATAATTCTTTCTCAATTTTTATCTCCTTTGCTTGTGACAGTAATTGGTGAGAGATCCCCCTCACRCAGCCCATGAGCTTTTCATCTTATATTGTTCTCTTGTCCTGCTGAGGAGCAGACGAGACAAAGTGGTCGGGTGGGCACGTGACAGCCAGCCAAGGTCAACCCACTGCAGTACTGAATAATGAAAGAGTAGTTTCATATCAATATCCGTGTTCTGTGCAAAGTTAAAAATAAATTCAATCAGTTACGCAAACTGGAGGGCAATTTTAAAAAAGCAGYGACAAGAAAAAGGTACTGAGACAACCAGCTAAAGGATAATTGGTTGAAATTGCTTTCTGGCAAGTGCAATTTTTGGGAATGTCACAGTGAATTCCTCATGTGTTAGCAGAGTATAAGGATTAGGCGGTTCAAATGTGGATACTGTGATTTCCTACTGCCTTTCTCTGCATGGCATTTCTGAAATGATTGTTTGATGATGATGTCTACATCTGGTGTTTATTCAGAAGAAAAGTAAGGCAATTTCATTACTTTCTGTAAATGTGAAATAAAGGTAAAGGTAAGTGTGAAACAAATTTCTTAAAGTATGGACATCTTTAATAGGCAGAAATTTCACAGTATGCAGTGGCTGGAGGCTTATATAAGACAAATTCAGACAAATATTGAAGAATACATTTTTAAAAGAGTAGCTAGCCACTGAAATAACTTTTCTAGTGAAGCACTGAATTTTCTATAATCTGCAGTCTTTTATTTAAAGGCTAGATAATTTTTCTAAAAAATCTCCAGCTCAGAAGTTGCAGAGTGGATACATCACTTACCAGTTTAAAGTCTATGGCTTCAATACGAAGGTCAAGCTATCATGATTTGTTATATACTTGAAATCTATGTTAATTCTTAAGAAGGACGTTAAATGTGAGTGATAGGTTGGAAAAGCAATTGCCAAGAACCAAAAGGAAAGTTAGGCACAACTTTAGTGAAGTACTTGTAGAGGTGAAAAAGGCAAACACAGACTTGTTTTGTAAACAAAAAGGTCTGCACCCAAAAAATGTGTGGATTCAATGCATGACTAGTGATTTCCTTTTAGTGCATCTTACTATGGATTTTGTCTTGTAAGACAAACTGGAGAGATTTTGAAGAAAATCAACAATTCTATAGGACAGAATTTCATTTTTATTGTGGCATTTGTATTTAATTATGTACATTTCATATCTGAATGATAACATTTTAGTCAATGAGTACAAATGGCAAGGAGAGCAAAGAAAACATGGTACAGAATGCCTGTCTTTCTGTATATGTAACCCTACATAAACCTGGTTTAAAAATAGGATCACTAACATTTCATCGCATCCAGATTTTTTGTGTTTTCTATTTTCATAATTTAAGTGATATTTTCTGGAGAAACAGCTTTAGAATAGGGTGGAGCCATATGCTCATCACAAACCTTACTGCATATCTAGCCACAGATCATTTGTTATGGCTATAGCCATGTACCTCCATTCAGGCTGAAACTTCCACTGATTTTTGGAGGTGTTCACAGAATGCTTGGAGAGGAATAAATTGCTCATAAATCTATCCAGCTTGGAAATACTAGCATAGCATTGATCCCTGAACCTTTAGACAAGAAGGTGACTTTTATGCAGTTGCTAACAGCAGAAGGAGAAACCAGCAAAAATAAGGTACCCACTATTAAACCTGGAGTWAATTTGATAATTGATAATTGTAACAGACTGTAATGGCTGACACTAGGCAAATTTTTTTTTGCTTTCCAGTCAGTGTATTCTATCAGAGTAACCACATTCTTTTATTATATTGACAATAATGTTTTGTTCCAGAAAATAAGAGATTAATGATTGATTATCATTGTTCTATATTTTACCATGTGGTTCTTGCTATGCTTCAATTTAAATTTTGTTTTGCCAACAGCTTTGTTCTACATCCCTCTAATATTTTTTTACACAGTAGGAATAGCAGGGAAAACTGCCAAAGGAAGGCCAAAATTTTCACATAGCACCTGTGCACATGAGAGCTGCACATCACTAATCTGTTAGAGGGCAGACCAAGTTGATCAGAACGGTTCCCTTTTCTTTTAAGCAGAGTATGTCTCATGGAAAAGCAATGTCTGAAGTTTGACCTCCTGCACTTCCTCATCTGACAAATAGAAATTAGGGTTTTTCCCACTTCATATGAGGGCTTTTCAGATTTTGGAGTCACACACTGAGCAARTTATTTGGTATGAAGTAATTTTCCATTCCCTGGCATTAGCAGCTACTTGGTCTCGCCAACTGGGTTCTCTCCTTTTCTGGATGGCATTCACAGGCAGCTCATTTTTCACCTCTACACTGGAACAGAGTTTTCCTGGAGCAGTTCTTCTTTCTCAGAATTGAGGATGACAGCTCAAATGTTCTTAGAGTATTTGCTAAATGGATCTTGGATGGTCTCTTAAGAAGAGGCAGAACTGGATACTGATCAGGGTGTCTTGTACTAAACTAAGATGCATGGATGCAGCAACCTTAACCTTTTTTCATTTTCTCTCCTTGACTGCAAGCAAAAGGCATTGTGGTAAACCACCCCAATGCAGACTCAAATACAGGCAGAGTTTGGAATATTTTTATGATAATTATCCTTTGATTCTTTCTTTTCTTTTGTGGCCAGCCACTTTCACTCACTCACTCACTCACTCACTCACTCACTCACTCACTCACTCACTCACTCACTCACTCACTCCTCACTCACTCTTAACTACCCTGGCTAAATCTTAACTAAATCCCCAATTCTGCATGCCTTAAAATGTAGGTATACATAGCAGTACTTTTAACAAGTAGAGCTGATGTTTTCCTTGTGCAATAGGTGGAGCGCCAGCCACTGACACATTCCAGAATTATATCCTGTTTCTGACACTGCTTTATCCTGTAAAGCACATCCACCAAGCATAATCCTACATCATTAAATATTTTAGTATTCATGTTATTTATCAGCTGATTTCTACTATCTTTTACCCTTCAAAACAACATTAGAAATCTTCTTACATGTCATTACCCAGATTGCTGGGTGTTGACTGTGTGTGAGTCACTGGAGGAAAGTATGTCACTACTTGTGAAATTTTAAAACATACACCATGGTTCTCATTATGTGGTTTTATGAAAATACGATGCATTCAATCCGTGTGCTTCAAGTTCTCTATTATTTGGTTCCTGTTTTATGTGAGGATAAAGATTACTTTCCAAGTACAAAACCAGCCACTTTTATATCAAATAATTCATCTTCTTCCACAAAAACAAAAAACTATTTCCCTAGAAAATTTGTAAAACAGATCACACACCTGATTTAGGAAAACTGAGCTTTGCTCATAGTAAAATATGACTAGCTAGTAAGTGTGCATTTCTTTTCAGTAGCAGAGATAATGACATTTCTTCCTGGCTTATACTCGTGGATTGAAAAAAATACATGCAAAGCTCTGAAGGCAGGGATGTTTTTCAGCTTTAGAAATATGTCTCCCTCCATATTTTAAAAATAAATGTATTTTCTGTATATGGAGAAAAGAAATTGAAGATCTATTGATAACTGCCTTTTTCTGCATTTTGAGCATTTTCTGTAGTCCCTTGTTACTAGACAGAATGAAACACAACAGCACCACATGTAACTTTTTTCTGCCTATTTGGCTGGCAGTACTGCACGTTTTCAG